CCTCCCAAGTAGCTGGGACTACAGGCACCTGCCACAAAACCCAGGTATGTTTTGGTTGCACTTATCATTGTTGTTTAGCTGGCCAAGGCCGGGTTCAAACTGCCCAGCTTAGGTGTTTGTGGCCAATGTCCTACTTACTGAACCATTAAAATAATTATTTTCAAGTTTGCCTGAATATCTATTCTATTGAGTTTACTATCAAAGTATTTTTTTTCCTTTGAATCATTGTCCATAAAGTTTGTGCACAATTTAAAATTTCGACTATTTTAAATTGCACATGAACTTTATGGACACCTGTGCATCTCATTCCCGCCTCCCTTCTTGCCCCCCTCCCTATCTCCTGCCTTTCCTTCCCTCCTTCCTTCCTTTTCATTTCCCTTTTTTTCTTTTTAATAATTAGATTTTTCTCTCATTTGTCACTGCAGTCACTGCAGCCTCTAGATTATTTTATATAATTGCCACTTATTTGTTCCCAAGCACATTAGGCTTTTATTGCTATTAGTGAATATTTATTCTGAATGCATTTTGAGTAGAGAAAGAATAGTATGTGATTAGAAAATGCTCGCTTTGAAATACATGTCAGTGGAAGTGATTTAAAATGTAAAACAAACAAGATAAACTTTCAAATATACAACAGGCACTCTACGAGCGTTTTACCTAATCCAGAAAACAGTTTATAAATTCATAAGATACATAGAGATTAAGTGACATGGCAGTGTTTATGTAATTACTTGAGAACTGAGCCCACATATAAACCCAGGTCTTCATTCACTCATTCATACATAAGTTAGGAGATCAGGAAAAACAGATCCTGCATTTCAGCATGACAACACTTGGGGTTTGCCAAGCTACTCCCCTGCTGCTCCTTGTCTTCTCCTGGACAGGCTTAATTTATTGTGTGATTTGCTTTGTTTCTCAGAGAGCCTAGTAATAGCCTTTGGTTAACCTTGTTTATTTCAAGAATCCCTCTAGGATAGTCCCCAGGGTCATAAACATCCAAAAAATATGCAGTTCCAAACAAGCCAAGAATAAAACTGAGGCTCCTGGGCGGTGCTTGTGGCTGAAGAAGTAGGGCTTCAGCCCCATAAATCAGAGGTGGTGGGTTCAAACCCAGCCCAGCCAAAACTGCAAAAAACAAACAAACAAACAAAAAAACAACAACCCTGAGGCTCCTTACAGTTCCCATATTTGCACACATCTACGGAAGCTTGTGAAGTGGCTTCTACTCCGTGAATTTCCTGATAAACAGACAAGAAGGAAGAAATTCTGAGATTATCTCCACTTGTGAATTACAGCTGCGTAAAACTCAAAAAGAGCTATGGAGGATGATTTCTCTAAATTTCTTGGCCCCCAAATTTAATAACTCATAGAGAACTTTGGTATTAATTGATTAAACAACAAATATTCATTCAATACTCAGTCTGATGTGAACCTTTCCCTGTGTAATGCTCTGGAAATTTCTTGGAAAACAGATTGGAAGTGGTCTTCACTCACGTGGAGCACAGGTGAGTGGGGAAGAAAATGATAAACAAATAAGCAACATTTTCTACAGTTTATGGGAAGTGATGGGACGGAGCACTGTGATAAGAAATAGCATAAAAGGCTATATTTAAGTTTGCGTGGTCAGGGAAGATATCTCTTGGAAGATGAGGATACGGTGGCATGAAGGGACAGGGAAGCAGACTTCTAGGTAGAGCTAATTTCAGAGCAATGTGAGGTGGGGAGACAAACTGGGTCTGTTCTAAGAACTGGTGACAGGCTAGAATACTAGAAGCTTCCTTAGGAAGGAGGACAGCAGCAGAATGAAGCAATTAATTATTGTTAACAGTTTATTTCATGAATTTAATGAAAAGTTTCTGGCATATTTGCAGACCACAAGACCCCTCTGTGGATTCTGCAGGCTTCTCATTGTCTGAAAGTGAATAAAAAGATAAAGATACCCTTAACGAGGGACGAAAGATCTGAGCAGAGACCTCACAAAAAAGACACAAGACAATCAATAGCTTGTGAAAAGATGCTCCATATCATTATCCAGTAAGGAAACACAAATTAAAACCAGCAGGAGATAACATTACACAATTATAAAGACTGACAAAGCCAAGAGTGAGGAAAAATACGGAACAACTGGGACTCTTGCACATTGAGTGTGGGTACAACTACTTTAGAAAATAATTTGGCAGTTTCCTATAAAGTTAAGCACATACTTACCTTATGACATAGCAATTCCACTACTACATATTTGAAAGTCAGAGTGCACCTAGAGATGGGGTCAGAGAATGGAGAGATTCACACCAGATTTATGAAAAGGATAGAGACCTGCCTAGGCAGAGGTGAAGATCGTGTCCGCACCGAGGGCAGTTGGAGACTCCTTTTTATATGGGGACTTAGCAGGTGGAAAAATTCCACTACCTGCTGGAAGATTTTGCTGGGCTAGGGTCTTCTGGTGCCAAGTTTTGGGGTGGAGGTAGCTAGGACCTTTGTGGTCTTTTGTTCCAGGAAAGGAGGAGGAGGAGGGTACGTGTGGGGCTTCACTAGGTCCCCAACAATATTTAATAAGAAGAATATATACAGAGAAGCTTGCATACAAAGTTCAAAGCAGCTTTATGGGTCATAGTCGCAAATTAAAAGTAGCAAATGTCCATCACCATGGAGCATTAATACAATAGCAAGTTCTTCAGCAATAGCAAAAAATACATTACTTATACATTTAATTATATGGATAAATCACAAAAACATTATGCTGAGAGAAAAAAGTTAGACATACACACTCACATGTATGTGCGAGTGTTTGTGTATATGAAATTATAGAATGGGGAGGATTACTGTACAGTAGCAGAAACCGAAAGCTGATGAGACCAGCAGTCGCCTCGGGCGAAGGATGGGAAAGTGCTGCTCGGAAAGTCATGAGGAAACTATTTGGGGTGATGCAAATATTCTAAATTCTGTTGGTAGTGGGGGTTGTGTGGACAAGAGGATTTCTCAAGACTCATTAAACTGTAGACTTAAAAATGGGTATATTTTATTGCATGAATTCATTTGAAAGAAAAAAGTTCTTCAATGAACAGATTTGTTAATGTATTTCATTATTGTTTATAAGACCTTTTTAAAATCTGTTTTCTGTGTGTATGTCTTTAAAAATGTAGACTTTTTATTATTTTATTATTCTTCAACAGTCCTGATTTTGGATTTTTTTTTGATGGAGGATATTTAAAAAAAATTATGAATGTTTTATGTTGAATATAGTACAGAGCTATGAGAAAAGTAAGATCTTTTGAACTCAACTGATTTACTGGCATTAAGGAGATCTTTGTCCAATAATTTATTTTTTTTAATTTGGGGCATTATTTTTATTAAAGAGTGCATAACTATGGATATTCAAGGAAAATCATACTGAAAGATTTTTAATTATTCTGATATTTTAGATTTCTCATAGATTTAAGATCAAATACCCCCCCAAAGTAGATGATTTATAGATCCCTAACAAAATAGAGTCTGAGTCAAATCATAAGTCTTAAGATTTTTCTTGGGAAGGTCAGTGCCCAAGGTAGTAAGAATGAGTGAAAAAGAAGTGAGTCTGGGAAGGGGTGAAGGTGGTGCATTAGAGAAAGCACGACATGTTGACATGTTGCTCATGATCACTAAGGAGTTATTCCAAGCCGGTCATAAGGTATCCCTGCTACTCAGAAAGGAAAAGTGAAAAGAAAGTTAAAGTAAAAAGTAAGGAATAAAAGCAAAAAGTAAAAAGAAAGGAAAAGTGTTTATCTATTGGATCTTTCTCTTGTCCTGACTCTCCTTAGTCTAACTTTGCCTATGGGGTGTTAAATCCCCAAACTTCTGAGTTCTCAGCTGTTTGGAAAGTCCTGGCATTCTACAATTCTTCTGGGTATGAACTTGATGGGAAGAACTATAGTCTCTGGGTCCTTTCCGTTTGGTCCTGGGCACCTGGGCTGTTGTAGCTTTCCTCATGGCTAGTGAGTAAGGGTGTGCTGGAGCCCTGCTCACACCCGGGAGGGCTGAGACAGGGTCAGTGTCAGCAGAAGAGGCCCCAGAGTGACAAGGACAGTGGGAGCATTCCAATGAGCAAGCTGCCAAAACCTACAGGGACAGATATGAATGTGGGAATCTGTGCAGGTTGCATAGAGTGGGTTCTATGCTCTGAATTAGAAGATTCTAGAAAGGAATTGAGCATTTGTAACTGTAAAGTAACTTGTCCTTTCAAGTTTTGAGGGAAATTCGGTGACAGTGGTAAGAAAAGAAAGGAAAAAAAATTTTTCTGGATTATTTTGAGAAGGAAGCTCACTGCTTTGAATTAATAATGATATTCGGTAACTAACTGTACATTTATCCTGAAAATTAAAAAAAAAACAACCACAGGAATTTCTCAAGAAAGTGCAAGTTAGATTGCTTTTAATGGCCTTCATTGAATTAGTATCTACCCGGAGTCCAGCTGCACCCCTTTATTAAGCTGTACGTTTTTGTAGATTAGGACTGTACTCTACACAAACTAATATTGAAGCTCTGGCTTAGTCACATTTGCAACAGAACCCTTAATTTTTTTTTTTTTAACTGCAGTTTTTTATTTTTTAAATTCTTAGTTTTTAAAACTCATTTGTAATAACATCTAGCTTAAAACACAAACATGGTGGCTGTACAAACATTTTTTTCTTTCTTATTCTATATACTTTTTTATTTTAAAATATTTTTATTTTTAAACTTTTTCATTAAAAACTATGACACAAATAAACATGCACATAGCCTAGGCTTACACAGGATCAGAATTATCACTATCACTGCTTTCCACCTGCACATCCTGTCCCACTGGAAGGTCTTCAGGGGCAACAACACGCATGAAGCTGCCATCTCTTGTGATGACAGGGCCTTCTCCTAGGCACCTCCTGGGGGGACTGCCTGATGCTTGCTGTTTTATCATTAACATTTTTTTATAGTAGGAAGTGTACATTCTACAATAACGTTAAAAAGTAGAGTGTAATACATAAACTGGTACCATAGTCATTTATTATCAAGTATTATGTAACATGCGTAGCTGTATGTGCTAGACTTTTATGGACTGGCAGCACAGATCTGCTGACACCAGCATCCATGAGTAATGCATGGTGCCACGATGTAGTGACAGCTGTGACATCACTAGGTGACAGGAAAGTCTAAGTCCATTATAACCTTATGGGACCACTGTCACATGTGTGTTCTGCCGCTGACTGGAATGTCACTGTGCAGAGCCTGGCATGGCTCAGTGCACTTAGTGACTACAGGACAGCTGCAGAAAGTGCTTTCCTTCACTTTTATGACTGACCCAAGCTCTGTCATGCCATCTACAAATTCCTTTTTGCGAAATTCACATTGAGTCGCTGCCCTGAATTTCCACACTATGACCAAAACACTAATGCTGGCAGGGTCCAGGCTTAAATCATCACAAAATTGTTGGATCCCACCAAGTCCAATTTTGTTTTCATCTTGTGGGTCTTTGTATCTGCTGTGCAGCTGCTCCAGCTTCTTCCTGTCTACCATGTTCCGGGTCGATTCCCTGTGGAACGAGTCTGGGTTTTGGAAGAGGCTGTCCGTGGCCTCGTCTAGTTTCCACTCATCCTGTGTTAAGCAGTAGACAGCGATTCTTTCACCAGCCTGAGTACATGCCATGAACTGGCGGACCTTGTCCTTCTGAGATGATTTGAGCTTGTGCATTCTTCCCATACCTTCCATGGTCGCGGCCTAAGCCCAGACCCTTCATTTAAAATGAAACAAATAAACAAAAGGGCAGCGCCGTAGCTCTGTGGGTAGGGCACTGGTCACATACACCAAAGCTGGCAGGTTCGAACCCAGCCTGGGCCAGTTAAAAAAACAACAATGACAAGTGCAACAACAACAACAAATAGCCAGGCTCACATCTGTAACCCTAGGCTGAGGTGGGAGGATCACTTGGGGCCAGAGACCATTTCATCTCAAAATTTGTTTTCATTTTAGAAAAAGTTCATCTGCATGTACTTTCCTTGTTCTTTCAGGACCCAAGTGATCTACTTTTTTTCCACCAATAATATGTCAGAGGAAAACATCTTGTTTCATTTTTTGTAATCTAAGAAACATTTGTTATCTCAGAGGGAAATTCTGGGGCACATCTAAGTCATGGTTTGCCTTGAGAAAGCATGACTTCTATTAATTATTTGGGGCCTACTTATAGCAAATAAGTATAATCAGTATGGATTTCATAATTTACACAGAATGCCAGTATTTTATACAAGTGGGAAAAAGATAACACAGAAAAGAAAGATCCATGGAGTAAGGTCATAAAACTGGTCAGTGACCAAAGGAGGTCTAGAATTTTAAAAAATCTATGGCTGACTACATTTTTACTCTCTCCAGAATCCATTTTATTGTGAGGCAATTTTTGTCTTGAACTGACCTTAAGAATTCATGAAGGAAGAAAAATTTCTCCATGGTTCATTTAGAATTATCTCAACAGTGTTTACATCCAGTATGTAATTTCATTCTGAGGTTGGCAAAGCAGGGATTTCTAGGTCAAAGGCTCGAATTTCAGTCTTTTTAATCAATATTCTAGTTAGTTCCAGAGAAACTAAAATTCCTGTGTGCTTACAGTTTGTGTTCTGTGCTTTAAATCCATTTCTATAGCTCAAAATTGTATCAAACACTTTTCTTTCTTTCTTTCTTTCTTTCTTTTTTCAAGACAGAGCCTCACTTTGTGGCCCTCTGTAGAGTGCTGTAGCAGCACAGCTCACAGCAACCTCCAGCTCTTGGGCTTAGGAGATTCTCTTGCCTCAGTCTCCTGAGCAGCTGGGACTACAGGCACCTGCCACAATGTCTGGCTATTTTTTTGTTGCAGTTTGGCTGGGGCAAGGCTTGAACCGGCCATCCTCGGTATATGGGGCCGGCGCCTTACTCACTGAGCCACAGGTGCTGCCTGTATCAAACACTTTTCAATGAATACACATAGATTTGTACAGTTTGTGCACAAGACACCAGTACACACACTCACACAACACTGCAAATCCTTTTATTATGAAAAATCGGATAGATCTTCCTAAGAGAAAATGTAGACAATGAATAACAAAGAGAGATTGAATTGATGTCATCATTCTATTTATTCTAGGTGAGATTACAATTGTCTCTTATTCCTAATTATTAATTCTGATTTTTTTGAACATGAACTACTCTGAAAGTTAAAATTTGAAATTGGGTAGAAAATCCTCAATAATATTACTGAAAAAATAACAATTATACATGAGGGAAATTAATTCTCAAACTTGAAAGTAGAAAACACCAATGCGGGTTTTATGCATGTGATAATACTCTGTTGACTCATGTTCAAAACACACAAATATTCGTGAAGCCACAGATGTACAGTTAATAGTTAAATTTATTACTAAAATGTATTATAGAATATTTCATACATTCCAAAAGCACAAAAGAGACAGCAAAAATCTGTATACTAATCATCCAACTTAAAAATAAAACATGCTGAATGTAGGTAAAGCTCAGTATGAATCTCTTTTTAATAGTTTCACACTTCCGTCAACTTCTGAGGCAACCAGAAGTTATTTATCTTCACCACAAATGTCAGATTACACACACACACAC